TACTAGTACTAGTACCTCCTTGTAATTATTATTATTAAAAATGTATCTACTCGCAATAGGTAACACGACAATGTTTACAGAATCGTTTGTGTTTTGAAAGGCACGAAAAAAAATCTCACTCATATACAAAGGAAAATTGTAATAGTGCGCGCAATGTTTGCAGGTAGATATAGGTACACATAAAACCAATAGAAGTAAATAAAAAACCATATTGTTTTGCTTTCGGTGTCGCGGGAGGCCTGAGAAGGGATGATTTGATATATTGATCAAGAATGTTTCGAGGTGGAAACCCAGCAGCTCCTATATATATATATATATGACACCGGAGGAATACACGAACTTTCCACATGTAATATGTACCGCCATGATATAGGTATTTTCTTAAACTTCGGGTTCGGAAAAAGCGTCTTGTCAACCGCCGTCTCACCCCTGTACATATATATGGGCATAAAAAAAATGTATGGATGTATTGTCTTCGTTCGCTATAACAATATAATATAGGGTGTCCCATAAAATGCGCGACTTTTGAATCTGTCGCCATTTTTTTTTTTAAATTTTATTGGCACCCCTGTTCTTATGATTTCTAGTATCTACTATTACTCCGATTTAATTAGTAGTTGTTGATAAGAACAGGCGGCTGCCGACGAAATATTAGAAAATGGCGGCAGATTTAAAAGTCGCTCACTTCGTGGGACACCCTGTATAATATATACGAGGGTATGCCTGTACACTTCGTCCCGAATTACAGTGGGTCGGATCTCATATTGTTATATTATACCTCCGCTGCGCCGAGTGTAGCTGTCAAACATTGCGAGCTGCACACGAATTCATCGTCGACGTCACAAGAGGATGACGCGCAGGACGAGGTGGAGGATAAAAGGTGATGTATGAAATAAAAGCTCGTCGGCACGTCCCGTGTGGGCGAATAACTTTCCACCACGTACTGCAGGTATGATATAATAATATATACTTTATCGTTATAGTAAAATTCCGCTCGCGATAAATCTCGATTAGGTACATACCGCGGGCGGCCCCAGCGTTGGGTTAGGTTAGGGCACACCTATACACGGGTACCTATACCTCTTGCAACGAGTCCGCATGAATATTATATTATCAAAACTTACTATTATAATATAGTTATTTTATGTTTCTGCGTAATATACGACACGTTAAGTTAGTCAGGTACATATATAAACGTATTACTGCAGGCCGCAGTGTCGCGCTGGGATTATAATATACGAAACGTGTAGATACGTCTATTAGTGCTGCAGATAATATGATACTGTACTTACTGCAACTGCATTTACACCAGCCGAGTAGGTTAATGCATACCTATTATATAATATGTAAATATTATGCATATAGCTGTAGAGGCAGTGGCGTACATAGATATCTTCAATGGGTTGTAGAGACAAATCATTTTACCTAAGTATATATTAAAATATTTTTTAAATTTTATTAATTTGTATACATCTATAAGATATATATAATGTAGTAAAAAAAATACCAATTTGGGGTTCTAACACACCCCCTCCTCCCGCCGTGTATGCACCCCTGAGTGGAGACCGTTTCATCAGCAGTGTTGTGCTACTGTGATTGGGGAATCTGTAACAGGATTTTGGTCTTCGTGTATCTTCGGCCAAGTCATTTTTTATTGATAAGGATTTTCTCGTGGTTCATTTTTCGGCTATGGATGTATTTCAATAAGTATTTCACCGAGTCATCCTTGTTGTCCCGTTAGACTTCCGCATATTTGTAATATGTAATTTATTATTTAATTTGATCTGACGAAAGGTACATTAGTACGTATATATGATACATTAGTAATAATGATATGTACCGCAACTGCACTGTATATAATTATACGCCTCGGCCGGTCCGTCTTAATATGTTATGTGTGTATAGCAGTAGAGAACATATTATTATTGTGATCTCCGATAAGGGGTTTGTCATAATTATTTAATTTGATTTTGCGTAGGTAACCACTGCAGCGGCTACTGAGCCCCAAAGTTGGATTCGTGAATTTTCTCAAGGCGCCTAAATGACTACGACAATAATAGGTATATGTTTGTTTCACTTTGGTTGGGAATTACTTGGGATTTAGGGTAAGTCATTCGCGTGTCCAGACGCTCCAGGCGGATATGGCAATATTCGTCAAGGAAGTTTCGTCGATCAAATCACAGTATTATAATACTGTTGTTGCAATAACAGCATACATCCCATATGGTCGTGTCCCCTATAGCAGTAATATGACCAGAAACGATATAATATTATACACTCGTTTATATTATACATTTATACCTATGTGGAAAAGCGATATAATAATTCAAACGAGACTGCATCGCCGAAGAACTGGTGAGGAATAAAGTATAATTATTATTATTATCATAAAGGTATATAAATTATGTATAGCACAGCTGCATAATACCGTGTACGGGACACTATTGTATATTATGTATGGATACATTGTATATACCTATACAGACAAGCGTACACGTTGTTATTATTATTATTATTGTTATTACCATTATTTTGATGTTCTCGCGAAACGGAAGTGAAGATTTTTGTCAGTCCATAGAGATAATATTATAGACTCGTTTGTTTTTCATTCGTCGAGAAAGTCGGCTACTTGTGATATATTATACGCCTAAATGTCATTATTACATATGACGCGTGGCATATATTATTATACAGATTTAGAGGTACGTTACATGTTATTATATTATTATTATTATCATGACGTTTTAACATAATATCGCTGGTACAAAACATATTAATATTATTGGGTACGATATCCACTGCACCCGTTTCGGGAGAAACCGCGCCCGTGCGCCTATATACCGCGGTATGATATATTATACCTAGGTGGTATTCCGGTCGCGTAACCGCTTTACCATGTTGTGTGCATAATAATAATAATAATATGCAAAGCACACCGAGTCACATACGCGGCGCTTATGCTGTATAATAATATAATATATTAAATATTGTAACAGCAAATAGCAATAATAATAATAATGCAACCCGTTTAGGCCGGAATGCGTGTATAATATTATGGGCGACGAGACGACTATTAATCACGGTCGAATTAACTCGACGACCGTAATCGCCATTATTATCATTATCAAGGGGCTATTATTATTGTTGTTATACCATCATTGTCGGGTCGTCTGTTGTCCGTCGTCGTCGGAAAAGGGTTCGCACTCTGAACGCATTTATAACAATAATAACACGAAATGTATCGCATTACCGCCATTCGTCTAAAACAATAATATAATAATATAATATTATGACTATATTATGCACCTGCGCGTACGTGGTAAGCCTCGACCGATCGCTTAATCAGAATATTGTATTACCTATGCTCTGCTTCCGTATTGTTGCAGTTGTGATGCGCTATCGTCAAAAACAATAGGGGCCTTTAGACGAAGGGTTTTTCGTGCGCGATTGGAATGTGAAACTCCAATCACGCGCGAAAGAATGCATGTATAAACATGAACAAACATGCGTGACTCTCATGAAGGAATTTCCTGCATAGTTATCGCGCGTACCAGTACTTTAACTGTCGTCTTTACACGCACAGTGTTTTCGTTGCCAATTTATCCACCAGTTTCCGTTTTTTACCTCTAAAAACATGAGTGATTCAAGGTACTTATCAAAAGAATTTATAAGTGACTTTTTAGAGAAATATCGTGATTTTCCATGTTTATGGAAAATCAAATCAAAAGAGTACACAAATAAAAACCTAAAAAACAAAGCCTACGACGAATTGGTTGATTTATGTAAAACCGTTTATCCGGACGCAAATAGAGATTTCGTGGTTAAAAAAATACAGAGTTTCAGAGGATCTTTCCGAAAAGAACTTAAAAAAGTGGAAGATTCCAAAAGAAGTGGAAGGTCTGCTGATGAAGTGCATATTCCGACGTTATGGTATTATCACCTTTTGGAATTCACCGTCGATCAAGAACTTCCTACAGGAAGTATAAGTAACATAAATAGCGAAGATCAGTTACATATATTAGACGAAAATACAGATGAGGTAAAACATTTTAATCAACTGTTATAATTAATTATTATTATACTTTTAATATAATTCAAAATAATAATAATAATAATAGTAAAATAATTAAGTTTTTGACGAAGGTATTATTAATACGTAATTGAATCTATTTGAGTAATAATAATCAGGGACAGAAACCGTTACAAATTTTAACGGTTTCGGTTTCGGTTTTGAGAACGGTTTATAAAATTTTCTGGTTTTGGTTTAGGTTTAAAGATCGGTTTTTTAAATTTTTCGGTTTTGGTTTCGGTTTCAAAAAAGGGTTTTTTAAATTTATCGGTTTCAAAAACCACGGTTTTCAAAAATTTTCGGTTACGGTTTTTAGTTTCCAGTAATAATTTTTTTTTTTTCAATGGTATCGAGAGTCGATGGAGGTTGTTGGACGTTGGTCGCAGTACTTCTTCCCAATAAGTCACACTACTTCGCCCCTTCCAGTAATATCTATAGACCTGATTTATATTATCTATTAACTATTAAGGGGAAAGGGCCTGAGCCTCAGGGGTGGCACTGTCTAAGGATACAGATATATTGGGTTCTGATCAAGGGATTGTTAGGAATATATATATAAATATTATATATACATACTCAATAAAGGTATATTATGGTATTTGGTATTATACATATATTTTTAATAACATTGGTAATTTGTATCACCAATTGCCTATAGGAAATAAATAATAATTAATAAGTACCTACCTAATAACATATTACATGCACACAAATACAATATATTTTTGTATGTTGCAGTAGTTAAGACACTCAGTAAGAAATACTAAATACATGTACACTATATATTAGATATTATATTATATTATGTAGTACATAATATCTTCTTTCTTTTCAATATAAATTATATAATATGCCTTATGTCTGGGAGGGGGGGATTATAAAAAAATATGTGCTACGTAAAAAATACAACTGTTTTAAAATTTTGTTTAAGTTAATAAATTGATATATTTACCTTCATGTAGTCCTTTTTCAAAGCTTCAAATATCTCTTTGCACGTTTCTGGGATTATGTATGATAAACTAGGTGCAGATATGCACGTACTAAATTTCAGATCTTCGTATGATCTGCCTGTAGCAAGGAATCTAAGTGTTGCAATAAGCCTTTCTTCTGCTGTTATTGCCATTCTCATTACTGTATTTTGTTTCTCTATTTTAGGTCCAATAAGTTCAAGCAATAACTTGAAATCCTGTGAATCCATCCGCAAGTAATTTCTATAATCATCTGGATTATTCTCTTCAAGTTCACGAAGTAGTTGAATATCACTAAAATTTCGATTTAGCTTCCAATCCTTCACCCATTTTGATCTTTTTTTCCTTTTTTTTTGTAGTAACACGTGTATAGCCGCACATGCAATAGCTATTTTTTTTGTTTCAGTTTATACATAATTAATACAAAATTGATACAAAATTGATAAGTTATTTAAGTTATATAAGTTAACACAACAACAACACGGTCAAGATCGTAATGAAAACTGTTGGAGTGTTGGGTTTTGCAAAACTCCACGCGCCATGACAATCACGCGGGAATGGAGACGGTTATTGCCTTTACACGGACACGCTTTCTTGTGAAGTTCAACATAAAGGGAAAGAACGCAGGACTGGCGCGTGTCACCTATTTTCAAGCACACTCTTGGCGCGTCACGCGCTAGTCCTTCGAGATTCACTGCCCGCACGGCGTGCCAATCCAATCGCGCACGAAAAACCCTTCGTCTAAAGGCCCCTAATGACGAGACTATTAAACGAGTATAATTGTAAAATAATAATATAATATCGTGTGGACAATGACCAGTGGTCGGGACGCTACTGTTTTTTTGTAGCACGCTAACGCTACTGCTACTTCCCAAAAAAAGTAGCTCGCTATCGCTAAAGCTACTTTTTTTTTAAATGTAGTGCGCTATTTCTAACGCTATTATTTAAATGTAGCGTGCTACTTTTTCGCTACATTTTTTTGAAAATTTTTTTTGTTTATTTAGATATTCACTTGAGTACTTGGTCATTATTTGTTAATGCCTACCACTATTTTCTTGTAATTTCGGAAGGCAGGTTTATTAAGTGTAGCTCATGTATTTTTGTAACGAACATCAAAACAAATAAACGTTTTATTGAAAATTTCCAATAATTAGTAGTTTGTACTGATTAGACATTCGGTCACTTGGAGAAAGGACTTCACACAGCAAGGGGAATAATGATTACTGATTACAAAGAATTTTGATTTGCTAAACATTTTTTTTAAAAAAGTTGATGGCAAGCATGGATCTAGAACATCTTACGCTTCGCTGTATAGTGTAAGTGTCAAGTGGACCTTGTCGTTGAGTAGGTCATTGTGATGGAAGAGTTAAATCTGAATTCAATGATACAAAGAATCTAAAATACACTCATACAGTCCGGTCCGGGTAAACCCGAAAAAATCAAAAATACACTCATCTTGTCATCTTAATTAATTATATAAATATACATCATAATATTTTAATTATCATGAAAGGTTATAATGAACATTTTCGCTACGCTAACCGTACATTTCTAGCGCGCTATAGTATTTCTCTACATTGTATATACTGTAGCGACGCTATGTTAATCGCTACAGCTAAAGTAGCGTGCTACTGTAGCGTCGCTACAATTAGCGCGCTACTCCCGACCACTGACAATGACACAATATCAGCAGGTATAACATGACGATATTCGAATGGGAAAAGATTTTCCTCGAGATCTAAAAGACGTATATAGGTACGCTGGCGTTTATTATAATATATTATTTTATATACCTACCATAATATATTAATAAACCGTGTCGTTTCCGCACGGCCACCGAAGTTGTAAATAATAATGACGTTGAATGTATTGTTTCAGTTTTACGAGCGCAGTCGCATTATATTTATGTACCTACGTCTATATATATATACCTACAATACTGCAGTACATATTATATAAGATAATAATGATACACCACAGACGATGACGATGCCGCTGCCCCGCACTAAGTAATATATATATTTAGGTGCTTGTACTGTAGCAAGGTACAACAATATAATTTTAAATAACATATATTATATTGTATAAGTATAATAATGTGTGTGTGTGTGTGTGTGTGTGTGTGTGTGTGTGTGTACAGTGTCTCGACAAGCATCATCCCATATAATGTTCACCGATTTTATGCATTTATTCAAAATATAATAATGAATTTTAAGAGTTTTTATTTTTTAAACATCTATTGTATTAATGTTTTTTTTAATTTTCCATACCAATGAATTTGTCCAGTGTCCAGTGGCTACAGAATTATACTTAATAAATAATAATTTTGTTATTTTGTAACACAGAACCTCTCAGTTTTAATGACCGCCTTTAAGCAGCGGATGTTTTTAACGATGCATCAAACAAAATTTTACGAAATATAGTTAAGTTCCAAGTATGATAATTTACAGTGATATAATATTATTTGGTTGGTTTTCCATATCGTTTGTAGTGATTTTGTTCGTTTACGAAAAGTCGCTGTTTACAACGATAATCCGGAAATAACGATGTGGCGTTTAATACAATATTCTGAATGAAAATCCGTCCTCACATTCGCCTATCTCTCGTGGTTGCTGATTTCCCAATTTTCTCTTTGAGGGAATTGTGGAATATCGGATTTCATCCGATGCGACAATAATTATTGAAATTACAAGATTAATAATATTGTAAGTACCTATTATTTTGTGTAATTGATAATTTACAACCTTAATATGTCGAATAAAATCCACAAATAGGTATATTATTTACTTAAAAATGTACAGTAACAATGGTTATTAGTTATTACTTAATGGTAAAAACTTATTACCTATATTATCATTTGAAAAAAAAAATATAATACCTTATAACAGGTATAGGGTACCTACATTTTTAAAAATGTTTAAGTAATATACAAAAAGAATTTGTTAAAAATGAAATACTATTTGCTTATGATCTTTAATTAGAGTGTTTTTAAATTAATTATCGGTCACGTAGGTCACATACTAAATGAATACCTATATTTATATATATATATATATTATATCTAGATTCTAGACATTAATTAAATTTTTTTTTTATTGGTCTATAGCCCGACAACTATGTCCATTAGCTATCGTAGGGGTTACGGTTGTAACGGTTGGTAGGGTAGAACGGTTGGTGTGGTTGGTACAGTCGGTTAGAAAGCGGCGTTTGCCACTATGGTCACCCATCCGGGAACTAGTAGCAGCTGCCGTTGCTTACTCTCAATCACGTTTGCGTAATCACATATTTTATTTTGTTCATCGATTTCACACATTTATTAATATTGTTCTAAATATCGTATTATGCGATATAATATGTACCTATACATAGTCTTATATTATATTATTGTGTGTGAGTGCGAATAATTTCCAGTCGACCTGTCACTATCCACCCCCACCCCCTTCCACCGAAAACATTGCACATTATAGTTTATAACAATATTATAATGGATTATGTTGTTTGAACGGTTGTTGGAAACGATTCGTAAAAGTAAACACAATAACTGCAGTTGCGTGCAGACGTGCAGTTGTATATAAAAATATGGGCAACAATAATTTGTAATGTATATGCACATAAATCGAAGAACGGAAAATAATAAATCATCGATACGTTTCTAATCGTTAATTATTGTTATAACAGTCTCCGAATAGCTCTCCATAATGTACAATCTATATTATTATTATTGTGCGGGCACGTCTGCACGCTCAACTGGCTGCCATTTTTTATGACGTTTTACTTAAACTCGTTTTTTAGAGCTTTGATCGTGTATATTGTTTACCTGTATCTATACACGCCACCGCGTGCAGTCCTAGGAGGTTTAAAGTTATATATTATTATGTATTGTTGCGGTCCTAAAACTCGACGGATAGAAATAATAAATTATTTCGTTTAAGGATTTTGAACGACATCGTCGCTGGAAAACGAGTTTCACCGTTTAAAATATTATATGTTATATTGATATTACTTTTTATCATGGGTAGGTACTACCCGTGTGCGCGAGTTATGATATTATTTGAGAGAGAACGAGGTCTTTTCAGACTTTGTGGTCCAAATATTATATTATTCGGTTGGGGGGGGGGGCTTGGGTGTCAATTTATTTGCGATCGGCTGCAGCCGATTTTTTCGTAGAAACTTCGAACGTTCTCGGAAACGATTTCATTATTAAAACGATGACGATCAGCTGATGGAAATTATATTGCAGTTAACTACACGCGAGGAAGAGGAACAACAATGGTAAAAGTATTTCCTCGGATACAACGCGTGTATGGAGCTGGTATACCTAAACCTACCTATAATAACTAATAACTAGTAATAAGTATAATAGTATACAAAAATACAATGAACGCTGAACACGATTTGTGGTGATTGGAGGGGGGGAGGGTCACGATCGTTAAAAATCGCCAAATTTATTCTCCGATATCGAAGGCGTTCGGGACAATGACTCGTCCATTAACGGATAATATTATTTTAATAACAGGACGTATATAATATTATCGTTATACGCGCCACGTGATTAGAGCAGTTGTACAATAGTAGGTAATAATTATTATATTATGCAGTTACAGCAGCAGCAGCAGCAGGTGTGTCGCATTAATTTAATAATTACAAACTCGGAATGCTCAGTGAAATCGTAAACACTACCTGTTTGTAGGTACATTATTATACCTACACACGCGTCTTGTTAACTAAATATATATAATATAAATAAATGTATTAATGCGCTTTATTACGATAAGAGCGCATAATATTATCATATACCTACATGTAGCTACTTAACCTACGCGTATCGTGTGTGGGGGAACGCCGTCTAGTGACATCGGTGGGTTTATGAAAAAAAAACAATATTTGAGACACACTTTCCCGCGGTGTACGAGAAAAAATTGCTTTCCAAAATAAATAAATAATAATAATATAATATCTTCGTAATAATATTATCATGTACACACGACGGGAGTATTAGAAATACAATTATTGTCAGCTGACGCGGCGGCGGCGGACGAAAATGTCCAGACAATTATTATTATTATCATTACGACACGGAAATTATAATAATATATTTTGCTGTACGAGAATTCGCGACTAAAATGCGATGAAAGTTCAACGTTTGCGACGGCATTGTACGGGCGGGTAACTACAATAATATATCGTCGCCTAAGAACCATCATGGCCAATCTCAAAAAATTCAAATATA